TGGGGGGGAAAAAATATTCAACGCATAAACTACAGAGTGAAAACGCGTTCTCCCGGTTCATCTCGTCGAGAGGCAAATACCTTCCAATTCTAAAGACGATCGGAGACAGTGAATCGCCGAACCCTGTGACTTTTTTTCACTGTGCCACGTCATGTCATAATTTCATCGTGGAAGGTAATACGAAAGGAGCAACCGTGGCGGGAAACGAAGAGAGGAAAAGGGCCGTGGCAGTATGGTCTTCGCCGCTCGAGATTTATCGAAGCCGAACACCGATGCATTAGCGATGGAAAAGCACGGAAACGAGATGAAGGTAACGAAGCGAGGGAGGAAAATCGACGAGAGTGTCGTGGGGGCGGGGAGGGGGAGGGGAGGGGGCGGCAACCTCTTCAGCCCTTAAACCGTTCTCTCTTTTTAAAGCTAAAGGAGCTCTCTCTCAAGACTTGTAACGAATCAATCGAGATCAGAGGCGCACGGTTCAGGCGAATGGTCCACGTTTCCACCAGTGGATTTTGAATACGCGCTTACGTACATATACATTCTTATCCACTGACTACTATGATGAAAATATTTAATTAAAGAGAACGCAGTTGAACGCAAATCTTTTTCAATAGTACGCCGATTGACATCTTTCCTTGCTCATTGAAATCCTATTGAATTTAATTGCGTATTCGCTATTTACCCGAGAGTCACAATGTTGAGACAAAAAGAAGAAGACAGGAACATGATACTGATATTCTAAAACTAGTCGATTGTTCTACGTTTTAGACTTTGATACAAAGTTCGTACATTTAATCGCTTTAAGTTGCTGACATCACAGCGGATATCAATACGAGCTTGAACATTTTCACCCAAAAGAAGGAACATGAAAATTTTCAATGAATATAAAAACCGCATTGACGTTACATTAAATACGATAATTTTTGCAATTGCGCGTGCAGAGTAGAAATCAATTTCTAAGTACCTTTCTTTTGCAAACTTGTACATTCTTCAAATGTTGGTGTCTGAATAGATTAAATCGGCAATATGGCAATTTTACGTAAAAGTCGTGCACGTCTAAAGATTCTCTATCGTTGTTATTTATCAAAACACGATAAGAATAATCTAATAAACGACCGGTGAAAATTATACGTAAATTACACGAATAATTTTGTCTCTAATCCCAATATATCTTGCAGACGCAACACTATACGCAATACATATTCTTGAAGCAACGGTTGTCTTGATTTTCCTACGTCCATCACTTCTTCGTGATTCGCTTCTTCGTGATTCTCGTAATCGATGATGCACTGATTTGTGATCAAACTGAAAGCGAACACGGTCAAGTCGCAGTGCCTGGCAGTGATGACTTCATGCACCGTAGACATTCCTGGAATTAAAGTTAAACAGCCAATGTGTAGACCAATAGGATAATTTGTTGACAGAGCAAGTCTATGGGAAATCTAGTATAGAGAGTGTACCAACCTACTGCATCGACGCCAATCATTCTTAACATCTTCAGTTCAGCAACGGTCTCGAAATTTGGCCCTCCGAGACACGTGTACACGCCTTTGTGCACGATATCGCTTATACCCATTTTATCCGCCACTTGCTGGCCGATTTCTAAGAGAGAAACGTTGTAAGCTTTGTTCATCGGCGGGAATCTCGGTCCGAATCTGAAATACGCGAACGCGCATCGCCGAGATGAGAGAAGAAGGAAGGAAATTTAATATCATCGAGAGGGGAGGATAATCGTTAGAAAAATGCGAGGAAGCGCGAAAAACCGGCGAGCGTATTCGATGGGGCTCCATTAATACCGGGAAGTTGCCGTAACAAGGAAAAGAGGCAAAGAAAAGTATCTACGATGAAAGAATCTCAAGTTTCGTGGGATGGAAGGTTAACGAAAAACCGACTGAGAACGAACGAGACGCGAAAGCGGATAAGGCGGTGGAGGGCCAAAGAAAAGAAGACAGGAGAGGTAGGCAGAAAAATCGAGGAGAGATCCTTAGGTAAATACGTCAATCAGATTCTTTGTGTCGTCGGGTAAATAGTTCATCAATCCGATTCAAGGGGTTGTTCCGATGAAATAGATTAATTTTATTCCTTCGACGACCTCAACGATCTCGCACGGCCACCCGCTTCCCTCCCTTTTGCCCCTAGGGCGAGCACTCGAAGAATCGAGTTGCCGAGCGGTCTGCAATCTGCAAGCGTCGTAGACGACTTTCCTTCCGGAAACGAGCCCGAAAGCCTTTGTCGACTGGAAGCGGATTCGAATTCATTGCCGTTCACGCCGTGAATCTCACTAGCCCGCTCTTCAACCGCTATCTTTTTTCCTTTATTCCTCCCCCTGGATCGTCTCTTTTCATCCATCATCCCCATCCACTATCTTGCCTTTCTCTCTCTCTCTCTCTCTCTCTCTCGTTTCTCCTGTTTCGCTCCTTTTCCATCGATAAAATCGAAAAGATCTCGCTGTCGCTAATTTTTAGGACGCGCGAGAAATTTACGATCTCGTGGAAATTTTACGCGAAGAAGAAAAAGTAGGACCGTGAGCGCAACACCGAACGGAGTAATGTGACGCGTTTCATAGTGCGACGCGTTGAGGAGAAGAGGAACGAAGGTAAGTACCTGTCGTCGTTTGGCCCTTGAAGAGGGTTATTCCCCGCAAAACCCATCATGTTCACGTGATCCTTCACCATCATAATGTCGCCAACCTTGTATGTGGGATTTAGACCTCCCGCGGCGTTCGTCGCGATTAGATGAGTCACGCCTACGAGCTTCATAACTCTTACTGGCATAGCGCACTGCACGTAGAAAGGAAAGGGAAAATAATAAAAAATAAATTGAAGAATTGCTCGCTAAACGTAGGTGATCAAACACTTTGAACTAAAAACACGAAGAGAGGCCGCGTCGAAAAGGAACTCGCAAGCTGATAATACGAATGAATGAACGTTACCTTCCAGAGTGGGTAACCCTCGTAATAATGAAATCTTCCCTGCATGCACATGATCGGTACGCCCTGCAGATAACCGAACACCATCTGTCCTTGGTGGCCCTTGACGGTCGAGACTGGAAAGTGTGGGATCTCTTCGTATGGGAAGCACTGCTTGTTCTCGAGGGAGTCCGCCAAAGAACCTGGACACAACTCGTTTTGCTCTGTTTAGGAATAAACAAAACATAGACTAGGAAAATATGCTGCTGCTAGTCCTGACGAGCACCAAACCGTTTGAAAAGTCATCTACTAACCCATTCCAGAACCGCAAATGATCCCAATCTTTGGCCTCATCTTTACACGGTCCAGCAAATACTGCGCCGATTCTTGCAGAGCCTCGAACGTATATCTGAAAATGGCATTACACCGTGAATCAACGAGTCGGACGATTTTGAATTTGGCTGGTGAGTCAATATTTCCACAATGGGGAAAAATGCTTTTCCACGATTGGGGCATTTCGCGCGATGGGGTTGCATAAACTCGTGAAAATAATAGGAATATTCAGGAATAATCGGGGTGAGTTAGGCGGAGTACAGGGGGGGGGGGAGTCGTTCGCAGCCGGCCAACATAATTTCACCGTGGAAACTATTACAAAACGGTGCAGTTACCTGTTAAACTGCTAACAGGCTCAAATAGCGCCGGATTTAAGCTGAATGTAGGCTTCGAGGGTATTACAAATCATGCATCGAAATACGCAGGCGGCCGCGTAACGTGTTTACGAGTGTGTACGCGCGTCCCGTGCACAACTCATCTAGCCCCCGTGTATGCACTCACGCGTGCGCGAATGCAGAACGCGCTCGTGAACAGGCACTACGCACAGATGCACACACAGAATTTCCATAGCATTCGACCGAATAAGCGCGCCTCCAGCATAATGTCACGCGTGACACGATCGAAAATTACTTACAATTCCACCGTGAATTTTAATGTCTCGACGTCCCTCTCTCCCTCCTGTTTCTGTCTCTTTCCTCTTTTTCTACCTTCCTCTCGCATCTTTCACTCCTTCTTCTTTTTCTTCCCTTTCTTTCCGCCGTTCGCCTCGGCAATATCCGCGAAAGCTCAAAGCGAAGATTCTCATTTTACCGTGGCCTCACCGAAACACGCCTAGGCGACTACAGCGACCTCGAAGCGAAAAACGACTCTCCAAGGATAAAACTGTAATCGCCACTCATTTCTCGTCCCTCGGATTATCGCGAACCCTCATTCGCGAGATTTTCATTTCCTACGACCATCCGTAAGAAAAAAAGAAAGAAAGAAAAAAACTCTTGGCAATTGGGAAGAAAAGACGCGGAGCTAAGACGCGGAGGCGCCGCGTTCGTTCGCGACGTGTAACGCGTCACAGTGTGAAGGGACATCGAATTATAACGCGTTGAATACGCCTTGAATATGCATCCCCGTTGCCAATACGGTCGTATTCAACCGCGAATCTGAGAATTGCGTCGCAGTTTCGCACGTGGAAAAGCTTCGATATAGCCGCGGGTATGGCAAACGTCATTAGACCAACCGCATTCGCGGATGCTCCATCGTAAACCGGGATTGTACGGTGGCCCGTTATGAATGGCAAATGTGAGGTCGACGATTATTATAACGACGTGAATGCGCATCGCCCCGGGCCATGGCGAGTATTCAATGACGCCTCCGCGATTCTGCCTACAATATCAGTCGCTCTAATCTCGATTATAGATGCACGCTATGCTCGGAACTCGGCTTAGGGTGTGCTCCTCCTTTGGATTCGATCCAGAGCCCCCGGTGCCGCGGTTCAGTACCGTCTCGCCTCCGTAAGAGAAACGTTTAAACGCCTTGGATCTGTCGATCAATCGTAGCACATTTTTACCAAACGCCGAATCAAAACGAGTCACGAGACGACGAAACAAAGAAACGTGAAGAGCATCGTGAAAGGATAGCGTTTCGTCCCTTAGCTCCTAAGTCGTCAATTGAACGAAGCTATTTTTTAGGTAGCTCAACAGCACGCGAATCAGAATCCAAATTCGAGCGATCGACGAGAAGACAGAGGAGGAACAAGAGGAACAGAAACGAGCCGAGATACACGGTAAATATTAAATGTGTTGGACAAAAATCCATAGCTGAGGGAACCGGGTAACTGGAACAGGATGCGACGCGAAAAAAAGAATGGAATAAAAAAGTGGCGCTGCAACTAAATTACAAATCCGTCTGCATATTCGATTCGGCGTGCAGTTTTTACGCTACTTCGCGAACACTGTTCGACGAGAAGTGATTGGTCTATCGCCATTGGTCTATCGATCGGTCGCTATCGTCGATCGACCAGTCTCTGGACCTCGATCCAAATTAAAATAGCCTTCGAATCAATCGTGGTGCGCATCGCGAGCGAAAAGCGCCGGGATCGCAAACGGTCGTAATAAATTTTAATAAATCGCGCGACGATCGAGATCATCGCCGAGCGATAATGATGCAAAGGATTACGAAACGATATAGAAATTAGTAGATAAACCAACAACGATTAAAGCAATCGACCCCCTGCCCCGTTTTCTCACTCTCTTCCCAACCTTGTTTACCGAAATGTCAACGTCATCGCGCCATTACGTTTAATTCCTGTTTGCGTTTGTCGCAAGCCCAGCTCGCCAGTTTCGCGCGAAGTCTCTGTTTGTTCGATTAAATAAACAAAATCAAAGTATAAACGCTCGAAACTTCTAATTGGACGCTTCAAAATACACCAACTTACAAGCAGGTCATCGTTACATCTTGAACACATATATAGATAGAGAGAGAAATATATATATATATATATAGAGAGAGAGAGAGAGAGACTATTGATAAGTTTCATCGAAATGCTTACAACTAGAGGCGGAGAAAGTTTTTTCTTCCCATTTTCGTAAAGATAAGAAAGAAAGTGTGAAAGAGAAAAATGAGTTGAAGGAGAAAAGGAGGATAACGTGATTTCGAAGACAGTGTTATAAAATCTATGGCTGTCTCTCAATTGGTCTTTCTCTCAGATTTCGACTTTCTTTCGGGCTTTCCCTTTTTTTTTTTTAAATTCAGAATCGAACAAGCTTGAGACTTCAAAACAAGCATTTGAATAGAAAATTCTGAGACATGTTAAATTTGTTAATGCGTTAAATTTCGTGGAAATGGGAGTGTATTAATCTCAGAAGATTAATTATACTCGATTTCATACGGTCTCGAAGCTGAATAATATAGAATCGTATTGTCGACTAATCGAAAGTTACGGAACAACCGTTTCAAGTAGTCATCCGCCGAAGCTAGCAAGCTTTTTCGACGTTGATGATACCGTTGAAAAACAATTAACCGCAAATGGACACTCTAATATGTTTCCACGAATCGTTTGCAGTCGACGTAAGCTCTGTTAGATGCTCGATGCAGTTTGAATCGAACGTATTCGACGACGATGTGTTAGTTATGACTAGTTGGCAAGCAAAATTCGTAAAGAAAGACTCTCAGTGCTTCAAAAAAGTTCTGCAAACGTGCGACATTTTACAAAAGATAGATTAATCTAAGGCTAGTTATAGCTCAGTTGCGAGAACGACGAACGACTTACGTGTTGTGTCGATTATGCTTGATTGTGGTATATAAGAATTCATTATCCGTGGGTCGTTTCAGCTGCGAGTAGTGATTGTGTCCATTGACACCGTCGAGGTCCGCGAACGGCATCGTGTCCTGCGGATTCGTCAATCAATCCAAATCGATGAGAAAAGAAAAGAAACTAGTCAGCTTGATCAAAAAGGCGAGTGAGGACCGACAAAGCAATGAACCAGACAAAGGAATACTCAGTGAGAATGAACGACGAAACGCGTACACGCTGTTTCAGAAAAGTGCGACTGATGACTGCTGGTGACTCTGGTTGCTGCTGTTTTATACAGATTCTCGCTACCGTTGAAAAAACGCCAACGTCAACGAACTGACCAATCGTTTCGGGCGTTTACTCACGCTCCCTCCAATCCTCACGAAGATCGAGCCGGTCAGAAAGTCGCCGGGAGGTAGGGGCACGCGATGATAACCCATTACGAACCAAATGCTCCAATTTCCACCAGCCGCTCTTCCACGCCGTTATTTGTTTCATGTGACAATATACTAAAGGAACGACGATAGTTCGCGCCTGGTATGTTCAACAACAGTCACCCATCGTCCACGCAAAGTCCAAGTCAACTGAGACTTTTTCCTTGCGCGAACGTACGATATTTGTCTAGTTTCGAAAGAGAGAGAGAGAGGAGAGAGAGGAAACAATAAGGTAGTTTCCTCGAGTGACGGGAAACTACCTTCTTCTTCACGGTGACTTCGATGATCGACTTGCGACGTTTCCACGTCTCTCCGATGATCGATTAAGCGAGGCTAGGTTTGCCGAAGTTCCTCGCGAAACTCGTACACCTTGCACGAGTAACGACCAGTTGATTTCCTCTCGATAAATGCTACCCTGCGAAACAAATATTACAGGTTTTTTGTTGCCAGTCGACGCCACGGTTTGTTTTTTTCCCTCTTTTTTTTTTTTTTTTTTTATTTTTCACTTTTGTTAATGCAACTCGAAACCATTCTGCGCGCAACTCTTCAAATAAATCGAGTTTGTTAATCCCTAGAGAATCGGCAAAGCCCTTTTT